AAATCGAACCAGAGAGAACTCACCAGATCTTCTTCCTTCTTATCATCTTTCTTCTTGGGATCTTTAGAGGGAACCTTCGTCGTTGCTTCATCCCGCTTCGCACCACCGGCGACGTTATTCGGATCCGGAACTGGAGCCATCTCAGTCAAACTAGCACCCGATCAATCCAACAAATGTGACACTCGAAATTCGAAAACTCGGAACGATCGAGCAGCTTCTTCTCTCGATGAAACCCTAAGTCTGAAAGTGCACGTTAGAGAGGAATTATGCCTTTCTTCTGGAACTGAAGCAAAATGGGGAACAAGTGCAGAGAATAAAAAGGAGAAATTTATCCCCCAAAAAAAAAATGTCAATAAGGGAGAAGATGACCCCTCGATCAAGAATTCCATTATGGGCTCAGCCCATTAATTAATCGGGCTACTCACTGGGCCATACTTTCCGGTATGGTTTTGCACTCGATTCCTTTTTTCATATTTTTTTTACAAGCTTTTTTTTTTCTTTTTCTTTCCCAAGCTTTTTATACATTTAACTTGGGCATTTAGGAATGTTGATTCCACACATTTTTTTCTAATAACATAGAATCTTATTATATAAAGGAGGAGGATGTGCACGATAAAAACACGATACGTAAGTAAAATTCTTATTCACAAAATCATGACACGCGTAATTGTTAATTTAAATTGTGGCATGTATCAATATTAACAAACAAATTTAAAAAAAAAACTTTTAAACAAGAATTATGAACTAATTAAAAAAAACAGATTGTACTAAGATATGTAATATTTTTAATTTTTTATATTACAAAATATATTCTTTCCATTATAAATTATCTAAATAGATAAAGACAAAAGTAAATGTCATATTTATAAGTGTGATTTTGCTAATATAATAACGTGTATGAGACAATTTTAGTATGAGATAAATATAATAAATTGACTAATTAATAAAATATAATAATTAAAATAAATATTAAATATTTGTGCGAGTCGTAATTTAGAATCTAATTACATTTGTCAAATTATAGGCGTTATAAATTTTGAAGTCAAAAATATTTACCGCAATGCGTTTTTATATCAGCATGACAAGTAAGTAAAATTATAACTCACATCGCAACATGTTTTTAATATTGATTAGCTGAAGAATGTGTTAAAACTTAAAATTAATTAAGAAAAATAAAAAAATAAAAATAGAAAGTAATTGTCAAGTTACTAATCAAATAATAAAAAATAAAATTTCTAATATTATCAATAATAATTAAAAAAAATAAATTTTAAGATAAAAAAAAAGGGCAATTACAAAAGAGAAATTTCAAAAAATGCCACTTTTCAAATGCCACTTTACAAAAATGCCACACTTTTGAAATCTTTACAAATATGCCACCTTTTCAAAATTATTTTTTCTTTATATTATTTATGTTTGGGTTAATTATRTTCTATTAGGRTTTAGTTTTGAGTGTTTAGGGGRTTTTAGGTGTCAAAACATTTTTTAGGGTTTAGAATTTTAAGATATAGATTTTATAAATCTATAATTAGTGGCATTTTTGTAAATGGACACCCCTAAGTGGCATTTTTGCAAATGTGCACACAAAAAGTGGCATTTTTGTAATTGCCCCA